TTAATATATAAAAAGCTCATATAAATCGGTAAGAAAATACTAAAATCCCAGTAGAAAAATGGGCAAAAGGCATGAATATGTACAAATAGCTAATAAACCCAAGAAAAATGTTTAACTGCACCCGTCGTAGGGGAAATGCAAATTAACACAATGCTGAGCCATTGTTCACTTATCAAATTAGGATAATATTAAAGGTTGGTGAGGGTGCAGTGACCATCTACTAGTCTCCCAAAAAAAAAACGAGATGCACTTTTCAACTTTCTTTTTTTTTTTTTTTTCCTTTTTGTCTTTTTTTGTGTCCGGCAACGGATCACAACCCTCAGTGTCGCGCCCAGACCGGATGGGGACCGGCAACGGGATCGCAACCCTCGGTATTGCTCCCACACCTCGCTCAGCCAGTGAGCGGGAACCGGTCTGTATGTGGGATCCGAACCCTTGGCGGGAGCGCCACCACACTCCCAAGCGGCACACTGTAGCAGTGCGCCACCGGGCCGGCCCCACTTTTCAACTTTCAATAGCTCCCTACCGCCCTAGCAAAGACTGTCAGGATCCAGTCCTCACCTCCCTCTCCCAGCTCATCTCCCACCACACTCCACCTCTGATCTGATGCTTGCAGTACTAAATCAGCTGAAATGTCCTGAGCACAGTACGGAATGTCACGTCTGCACAGATTGGCCTTTCAGGATGCTCTGTCCTCCTCCGCCTCCATCCTCCCTGACCCCACCCAGTCTTCTTCCCCAGGGTGACTCCTACTCCTGGACAATTCTTCTAAGGCGCTGCCACCTTCAGGAAACACTCCTGATCTGAGTTTGGTGCCGCTGCTCTGTGCTCTTGTTACACATGTCCCCTTACTTAGCACTTACCACGCGCTTCTGAAAATGACTCTCTATGGGTTTCTTTCCACCTTAGATTATATGCACCTCAAGAGAGACATTATATTTTTATGCATTCCTGTATCCCTGGGCCTAATCCAGTGTCAATACACAAGACATGACTCTTGTTCTAATCAATCATGTAATAAATTAATTATTCCATTTTGCACAATAAATTTTTGCCACTATTCTGGTAAATGCAAGTTTTACTTAAAATGGATAAAATTAAGTCATTTTTAGAAGAAGAGAAAATACCTCACCCATGCCCCAGCCCTCACTGTAGTGCCCATGTTCGATCATCCCACGGGTTGTAACCAATTAGTGGGCCGTGAAATTAATTTGCAGGTCACGAACACCTTTTTTTTTTTTTTTTAAGAAAAATATGGGAACTAGAAGAGAATGGAATGAGTCCATTCTTTCCTGTCTATTATGGATTTCCCCATCTGCCGCACCCAGGAAGGAAGGAGCACTGATTAAAAACACAAGTTGGGGAGCTGGAGCTCCTGCTCAATTCTTATTAACTGTGAGACTCCAGGAAAGCTACTGATCTCTCTAGGCTTTGGTTTCCGTAGCTGTAAAATGGGCATGATGAAAATACACATAGGATGAAACAGAAAGGACCCAGTTTTGCCCCAGATTCTCAAAACTGCTCATCAGCATGCCTGGTACGGAGACCATGTAAACACCCACTAGAAGCAGACACAGTGCAATCATATTACTCCCCCCGCGCTTTCTGTTCTGATGCGTCCTGCTCAATTCTTATTAACTGTGAGACTCCAGGAAAGCTACTGATCTCTCTAGGCTTTGGTTTCCGTAGCTGTAAAATGGGCATGATAAAAATACACATAGGATGAAACAGAAAGGACCCAGTTTTGCCCCAGATTCTCAAAACTGCTCATCAGCATGCCTGGTACAGAGACCATGTAAGCACCCACTAGAAGCAGACACAGTGCAATCATATTACTCCCCCCGCGCTTTCTGTTCTGATGCCTCGCCCCCTCTTCCTCCCTTCCTAACAAGTTGCCATCCTGCCTTTAGATCATGACTCAGTCTTGAGCCTCTCAAACTTAGAAGGGAAACGTACTCAATAGCATCAGGCAAATTGATGGGTCCTGGACCCTAATGTCATAGGGTATGAAGTAAAGGACTCTCTTTCTAAGTTGCAAATCTAACCCAGTTGCTCCCCTGCACGTGGTCCTCATTATGCTCAGAATAAAGCTCCGGCTCCCTAATAAAACCTCTAAGGTCCTCCACGATCTGACGCCCTGCCAGCCTGTGCAACCTCCCCCCTTACATGCCATACTCCAACCCTCCCCAGCCACCTGCACTTCCCAAGTGAGCCACGCTCTCTTGGCCCTGGCCTGTACTATGTTGTCCAGTCAGCCCAGAATACCTCTCTAGGCCTCTTTGTCAAGTCTCCCCTCCAGCATCAGCTCCTCGCTGGTTTCTTCTTTATCTCCACCTACCCAGCACCCCTGCCCTCTCCCGGCTCTGTGCCCCCACAGCCCCATCCTCCAGTGGCCCGCTCCATCACAGCACTGACGGCAGCCTGGTTCAACTGGCTACTCATTTGTCCCTCGTGTTCCTTTTGCTGCACAACCCCAGCATCTAGCATTACACCTCCCCCAGAGGAAGCACTCAGTACACACTTGTGGGAGGAAGTGAGGAGCTCGGAAGGAATAAAGGGAGAAAATGGATAGAAATTCTTCATCTGACACCTTCTCCAAACTTCCAAAGTCATAAAACAAGGCCTTGGAACTATAAGCCTTTTTTTTTTTTTTTTGTCCTTTTTGAGACCGGCCACACCGCGCCCAGCCAGTGAGCGCACCGGCCATTCCTATATAGGATCCGAACACGGGCGGGAGCGCTGCTGCGCTCCCAGTGCCACACTCTCCCGAGTGCGCCACGGGCTCGGCCCTGTAAGCCATTTTTTAAAGGTCAGGCTCACGTGGGCACACAGAGCCTCTGAAGAGAAGGTACTCCAGAAATAAGGCAGGTCAGGTGGGCACCGGGGTTAGCTGGATGCCAAGAACACGTGTTCCCTCTCAGAGATTTCACAAGCTGGAAGAATGTGAGCTTGCACAATCAACTTCTGAACACTGATAATAGGCTGAGAGCTTTGAATGTCTTCAAGCCGTGAACAGACTTGAGGTAGGGCAGGGACAAGGCTGGACAACTCTCTTTACTGCAGTAATTCCAGATTCTTGGCCACTCAGTTCCAGAACCCATGAACAGAAGCCCCTGCACGGACAAAGCCATAATAAATGAGGTGATACCATGTAGATCAGCTGCATCAGGGCATGGGGGGTTGGGGGGAGAGAAAGGTTAACATCAGCCAATCAGAAGTAGGCACACAATAGGGCATTTCACATGCACCATTTTTTAGATTGGCATACCAACCCAATGACAGTTGCCTTGATTTTTACAAATGAGACTAAGGACCAGAGAGGTTAAGTCATTTGTCTGAGCTGACACAGTAAGTGACTGAGCCCAAATTTAAACTTAATTCTGTCTGACTTCAAATATCTTGCTTTTTTCACACTGAATTCCTGTCCCTGAGTAATTCCTTCTTCATTAGAATTTGAGTCTGATGCTCTTACTCCAGCATTGGAGGGAAGGAAGGATCTACCACCATGTACATAGGCACTAATGAACTAGGATCCCCTGGGAAACTACACCTGGCACAGAGACAGTCCTAGGATCCCTCTTGCTCACCAAACAGCCCCTCCTGAGGGAGGAGGTAACTTCAGCCAACTCTCAAAAAGCCTAGAGGAGTGGGCTTGCCCCTTCCCTAAAGCCAGTGCTTCCACCTCAACCATCAGCCACCAACACCAACTTTATCCACCTTCTTAATCTTCCAGCACTGGCGATGAAAGAAAAACTACCCGGCAGTGGAATCAGTAGTCCTGCAGCATAACAGCACTTCAAAGGTCTTCAGCAACCTCTCTTCATACTGAAAGGGCAGAATCTCAGGGCGCTGGGAAGTGGATATACCAGGACTTGCCAGGGCTCAGAGAAGGTAACTGACATTGGGTGCCACTTCAGGGGTACTGGGAAACCTCTCCACTCCCAGCCCCCACACCTGCTGGATGGTCTTTGAGATGCCAATTCAGAACTGCTTCTCTTTGATTTAGGGCTCTGGTGCAGGTTAAAATGCAGGGGACATTTACAACAATGGCGGCCATTGCAACCTGAGCATGAATTGGTTTCTAGTCTGGTTAGGGAAGCAGGTTTTGAAAGCGAGGGAAAATGACAAAACTAAGAGGACTGTGACTGTCTATTACGGAGACCTCAAATAGAAAAGTCAAAGTGACTGTAGACATTTCCCATTCACAGCTTGCCAGCAGGACAGAAAAATTAACTACATAACATGTATTTGGGGTTGATGGGAGAGGACAATCCAATAATGTGTCCTCTGGAATCCACCTGGAATCCATCCTTGAGTCCACTAGTTGAGCTCCAGCTTCCCTCTCCTGACTCTATCTCTCCAGGTGCAGCAGCCTCTGTTCCAGGTGTGAATGAAATGCACCCAATAGACAGAAAAACAAGGCCTCAATCTTGGATTTGGGAATGTGGGTTTCTGTTCCCTAGAATCAGGCTGAGATTTGCTGACTTGAGTTAGGACTGAAAAAATGAAATGGGAATGGATATGCAGCTCCAAACATGCTTAATGCCATAGGATATGAACCACGGTGGCCCCCATGCCAGGCCCCTCTTCCAAGCGCGGGTTTGGCCATGAGAACCTGGGAAGAAGCAAAGCACTTCAGGCTTTTCTATGTGCTTATGATGGAAATTATGCAACTGGGATGCATATCTGGATTATGTAATTGTGATTCTAGGCCCAACAAGTTCTCAAGTCATAAAAGTGCCCATCTTCAAATATTTGCAAAAGTATTATCAAAAGAAGGGGGAACAGTCCTTCGTGATATCCTTGCTGATGTGGAAACTACTTTATGGTGGTATCTTCCCTTCTGCCTGGACTCTGAGGGGTCTTTAAATAATCTCATTTTGAGACATACACACAAGGCATCCTCAGGATTCTTAAGCTCTTTCCTTCTATCCTCAGTTCTCATACAAATATGTCCCACCATACACCATGTATATGAATGTGACTCAATAACCACACACTTGAGGGAAACATAAGTATAAATTTACTATCCACCTAGTGGTAGCTAGGAAAAATTGCAGGCATAATGATAAAAAGGAAATAATCAACTTTGTAGAGCTCAGCTTCAAAACCAAACCTATAAAGGGCAGGGGAGATTCAGATGCCTCAGGGACTGGACAGATAATACAAATAAATGAAATAGGCCAGGTGAGAGAGTACCAGTCTTGCCAAAAGAGGCAGCCCCTACTTAGTTCCAATTGATTGTCCTCTTTTGAAAATGCAAACTGGATCTGCTCCGCCTTCTGATTGTTCAAGAGAAGCCAGAAATTCTGATTTTAATGTGAAACCTCTTGATTCTTAGATAGTGGCTTGATTTTCTTGAAAACACTAGGTGAGCTAAATAAAGCTGAGTTCCACCAGTTTTCAACATTCTGCTGTACAGATGGTGAACGGCCTCTCCCATAACTGTGGTATTAGACTGCCACTCACCAGCCACCATTAGCAATTACAACAGAGGCAACAACTGACAGGGCTCCCCTGCTTTCCTGTGCACACACACCTGGACTCCTGAGCTGTGGAGAACAACTAACTCTACAAGAGAAAGTGGAAGGCTCAGCTGAGACACCCAGGGATGGCTGCAGGCTGGCCTCATGGCTAGCTGCTGGCCTGCAGGCACTAAATGGCTGATTGCTCCTGCAGGAAGCCTTCAGGGCCTGGGAGGCCTTTATCTGGCTCAGAAGCAAGGGCTGCTTCTCGAAGGACTTCCAAGTGCTCCTCAGCAGCTGACAGTGACTGGTCAATCCAATCCAGGCCCCCGGTCAGGTGGCAGGCATTCCTGGTCACCAGCACCAGATGACTGACAGATAAGAGCAGAGCAGTTGTCCTAGGAAAAAACAACAGGATCAGGTTCTCTAGAAAATGAGGGACTTTGCACAAAAGCCCAAATGGATAGACTGTAGACTAGTGTTCCCCTAACTGGAGACCCTTCCCTAGAAGGTTCGTAGGTATGTAATTTAAAGATGGCTCCATGCTCAAATAAATTTGGGGATGGCTGAGTTAAACAAGGTTAACTGAAGCCTGTTTCAGAGCCTTTGATGTACCTGATAAAGCCCCAAGGGGAAGATATGATATTGTGTATCTCACAAACTTATTTAAGATTGTGGAACCCATTTTCTGCGGCATACCTGCTAACATCTCCCAGAAGAGTGTTTGTGGAACAGTTCCGATCTGATCAATTGCATGAGCACATTCCCCAACTGCTGCCCACTTAAAGACAGGATATTCATACCCCCACCCTGAGCATCCCTCATTGACTACAAATCAATAAGCCCTAGGGCTGTTTTACCCAACTCTAAAAAAATTTAATTAAAAACCAAATTGAGGAGGAGTTTTTTTCAGTACTGAAAGATTCACTGTAGAAAACCTTTTACATAGTGAGTGTGCATGAAGTGTTTGGGACTATATTACAGATTAGCGACCCTCGACAAAGCCAGGCAGCAGTGAGAGTAAGGCAGAGAAACCAAAGCTGAAGTACCATGACCCACTGCCAGCAAAACAGCCCTCTCTGAAAAAAGCCATCAGCCAGCCTCACAAACATGACAAAATGGTGAACCTCCAGCTTGGAAAGATGAGTGAGCACCCCACCCTCTCACCGTGCATCCAGGAGTTTTGGGTCCAACGGAGGGTACATTGACTTCACAACATCGTCCACTCTGAAAGGAGGCAAAAGTTTTTCAGTGTTTCACTTTCCTTATCTCCTTTTTCCCTTCCTTCCTTTCTATCTTTCTTTATTCCAGTTCTTCTCTTTTGATATTCCAGCCCCAATCTTTAGTGGTGAACTGCTTCTGCATTCTTGGACAGAGACTTAAACAGAAAGACTTCAGGTTCGGTTTAGAGAATATTTTGTTTTCTGATTTTCTTTCAGTTCCAATGGCTTAAAAAAGAATGAAGTCACACACACAGAATGGTGTTCAAGATTACTACTAAATTAAAAAGGCAAATTGCCAAACGATATATAAAGCTTGATCAATCCTGTTTGCTTAAAAATAAACAAAAGCTGTGAAATGCAGGGGGAAAAAATCTGGAGTAATACTCACCATTTAATGGTGGTTACCTCCTGAAATAGGGAGGGGGTGGAATTAGTGGGCATTTCACTTTCCAGATAATCTATTTCTGCACTGTTTTAACTTTTACAAGCATTTGTTACCTTTGTGTTTAGAAAAAAATTAAGACATGGCTAAAGGTAGTTACATAGAACACTAAAAGAAAAAAGCCACAAGTTTAATTTGTGTTCAAACTGTTCCACTGGATTTCTTTAACTACATGGTACAGTTCATGGTTAATTTTTTTTTTAATCAAGTTCAGAAAGGAACTACAATTCACTCTGATTTGTGTGGTACAAGATTTTGCTCCAAATCTTTGCTCATGAACCACTCAATAGTCAGGTTCAAACTGTTCCACTGGATTTCTTTAACTACATGGTACAGTTAATGGTTAATTTTTTTTTTAATCAAGTTCAGAAAGGAACTACAATTCATTCTGATTTGTGTGGTACAAGATTTTGCTCCAAATCTTTGCTCATGAACCACTCAATAGTCAGGAAGGAAAGACAAAAATGTGCTGTTTGATTTCTAAAAGCACTTGGAAAAAAAGATGCTTCAAACATTCTTAGTCAGGGCTGAGGAGCTGGTGAGGAATGTGGAGGCACGGTCACCCCCAGCGCCTATCTTAGCCAGCCCTTTCTCGAGACTGCCTGGAGCTGAAGCCACTCTCCCTAAAACTAACATGCCATCAATGCATTATGTGGAATAAATGGAGCAGGAAGAAAAATGGGGACAAAAAATGGCGAGAAGGAGAAAGAAGTGTGAGGACAAAAGACAAAACAAAGATCCTGATGGAATTATGGCAGGAACATTCTAGAAGCAATCCAAAGTGCTCTGTAGGATGGACCAGTAAGCACCAGGGCAGGTCCACCCTCACACCAGCACCACTGCTAATCCTGCTCACCCAGGCCTCACTCACCCTAAGAAATCTCAATGTCATTCTTCTACCTGACCCCTCCTGAAAATGCTGGCTTATAACCCATATCACAGAAATCTGTCTGGCGCCCTCGGGTGGCTCTTACAAGTGACAAAAAGCATGATGAAGGGTCCAGCAGATATGAGCGATACACAGAATCTAAAAATAATGGGTGACCAGAAGGAGTGTCCGGAGCTTGCCCAGAGCCTGGGCTTGGGGGTCTTAAGGGCAGGGGCTGACCTTTTGACACAAACCATGTAGCTACACCCACCCCTGGCAACTCCAGAGAAAGCCAAGAGCTGTTCTGGGCTGAGTCCCTCCCCTGGATTATCTCTCTCCCACTTCTTGACTCACTGGGCTCCCTGGACAGAGTTCAAGTACACCAAGTCATGTTTTTGCTCGGAGGACTTCACATGTGTTGGCTCACCCGAAACTGGTCTTTTTATTTGGTTAACCTTGAGTCAGGGAAAGGACTGGATCCTCGTGATTACCTGATGCCATGGTAACAAGGAAAGCAAGAGCCCCTGGAACTCACAGGGGGTGTGACGGTTCCGCAGAAATAGGAGGCACCCTCCTAGCAGAGGGGCCAGGTTGCTGATAAAGAAAACATCCTGGAACTGGCAACTCCAGGCTCAAGCACATCTGCATACCGGCCACCAGATGGCAGCACAAACTTAGCAGGGCCCTTTCCTCTAAGAAAAGGGCTTTATTTTTCTCCACAAAATTGAGCCCACATGAGGGGGTGTAGCTGTTGACTGCAATCCTGCTGGTTGCCTCCCACATGGGATTCTGCAGCCAGCTTGGAATTTGGGAGGTCTGTATGCTGTATGGCTTCACCTCCCACCCCGTCCTGAGGCTGCTGGACGGAGCATGGATGAGGCAGTGGGTGACAGAAAGAGCAGGTGCCCCAAATAGCCCCCAATACTGATATGGAACAAGGGCACAGCCAGGGGGCCACTGGCAACTGGGGTGTGGGCACCAGCAGGAAAAGCGCTCACTGGCTCCAGCAGAGCCCAGAAGGAAGGAGTGACAAGGGAAGGAAAGCAGCCCCCGCTGGCATGTGGCTGAGAATGAAGGGCAGCCACTGTGGGAACTGCAGAACTGACTGGTCAGGGCTAGTCATGTGCTGGAGCTTCCTAAAAAGCCTATCAGATGGGCACATGCTGGAGGTGGGGATCATGGAGACCACTGAGTTGGAAGTCTCAGTATCAAAACCCTCCTGGTGGCTCTGTAAACGTTTGGGACACAAATAACCGAAGTTGCCCGTGTACTGTTTCTTAGGAGAACCTGGCCCTGCCTGTCTTCCAGCCACCTCAGCTTCAGCCCTCTCTCCCCCTGTGAAGTGTAGGGACCTCAAGGCCCCTGACGGCTCACCTGGGGCTGATCCGCTTGGCCACCACAATGATATCACTGACACTGGCTGAAGTCTTCATCTTGGCCCCTGAGCCCATTGTCATGGCAACGAGTTTTTCTGTCAGAGTGTGACAAATCTAATGCAGCAGAGAGGAGAGAGGTGACGAGGGTTGACCTGACTCCCCTAAGGCTTCTGCTGCCCCCACAAAGACAAACATGGCCCCACTTGGGTGCAACACGGGCTGCCCCCTAACCTAGTGGTCAAATTGAAGTGGAAAGTACTCAGAGATGAGAGGAAATGGGGTGGGAAGAGGCAAAAGCCAAGAACATGGCTGGGAGAGCAGGGAGGGGAGGAACCTCAGCTCAAGGGCAGGGTTTTGGCTCAGAGGAGTCTAAGCTGAAATAATCTGTCTAAGAAAAATCATGTGCTCTAATTTCACCTTCTTGCTTAGGGGAAAAAAACCTACTTTCTCTATTCCTTCACTTCATGGTTTAGACTTCTAAAAGGATAAATGTCTCCAGTAGATCACCTCAGAAACAGGGCTGGACAGAGGGCAATTGTTCCCTGAAGCCCATTCTCCAGTCATGGCACTATTTCAGGGTACTGTAGTAGAGTGTAATATATTAGCGTGTTTGTCAAGATGATGATGAAAGGAACTTAGAAAAAGCAGGGAAAAGGCAAGACTGGACACATGGCCTTTTTCACCATCCACCAACAGTGCTGGCCACCCCCACAGTTTGCTTCCCCTTTCCACACCACCCATGGCAGCACCTGCATATGCCCTATGCTGGCAAAGGAGTGCCGTTGCCTGCCTTGTACTTGGAGCTGGAAAATAGCAGAAAGAAGCCCAAGAGCCCACCCAGGAATGAGCCCAGTCCCCTCCCCCCAGCTCCCACCACAGGAAATCAAGGTCTGGTGACCAGGCAAAGGGGTACTGACATCCCAAGTGAAGGGTCAGAAGCTCTCTCCTTTGACCTGAAGTCCCCAAAATGGACCACTGATTCCAATCCAATAAGAACCCTGCTAGGTGATTCACCTCCCACTACAGGTGCCATCTACCTCCCTCTCTAATAGGAGAGGGCAGGGGACGAAATTCAGTCCCCAAACACATCCTGGTTGGGAGAAGAAAAATGTAAAATAGCATTATTGCTCTAGTCATTATACCTGCCTATGCCTATAACCGTATCTATGTCTATGGCCATATTTATGTAGCCAAAGACCTTCTTGGAATTAAATAATAAGCCTGGACTCTGAGAAAACAATTTCCTACTAGGAATTTGTTTGTCCCCCAAGAGAGACAGCCAAAGAAAAGGTGGGATAAAGGACTTTTTAATATCATACTGAATAACACTCAAGAAAAGACAGCTCTCTCTTTTGAAATCTTGAATAACTACTAGACAAAAAGATAAACGTGTGGTTTCCGAGGTTACTGAAATAAAGAAACTGATGATATTTGTAATTGGCCAGATATTTCAGTATTATTATTATTATTATTATTATCCTATTAGGTAGGATGTTATCAGGCAAGAATTGAAAAACAAATGCTGAAACCATAGAAATTACCTAATATGCAAATTAGATACAATTTTCCAAAGATTTCAGGCATTTGAAGAAAAAAAATCTGCCATGGTTTGGATTTTTTTAACACTGATTGTTCCATGTGGTTGACATATGTCACAGCCAAAGAGGAACCAGTGAAGACTTTCCAGTAATGGGAGAAGTTCAAATACAGAACTCAACTTGCTGTCCAGGTCTGAGCTCTCTGTTAATGACAGAAAGTGTTCCGGGGGAAGCTGGCAAGCCCCGTGTCCCCTTGGCAGCTACACGGTCTCAGACACACGCAGCTGTCTCCACAGTCAGTGAAGAAAGTGGGGCTACTGACTACCTAGGCTGTCTTTCCCAGGTCATTGTATTAAGAAGACCAGATGAAATAAAGCCTTTGCAACGGCCTTGACAGCCCCAAGTAAAACAGACCATTAGACAGGAATGGAAGTAAACAGTAGAAATTTCAAGTGTCAGGTTAAAGAAAGGCTTCCTATGAGGGTTTGGTGCACTTCCTAAGGCCCCTTTCAACTCTGTCTATGCACAGGGTACTTTGGTGACTCCACTTTACCTCACAGGGAAATCAGAGAGTATTACCTTCAAGATGGCAATGCAGTGGGACATGAGGCCCCTGGGGAGACAAGAAGAAGTTGTCAGTGCTTGGCTAGGGAGACCCCCCCTCCCTCCAGCTACCACCTCTCTCCTCATCTACTGTGGAGCAGTGGGCACAGCTGGACACCACCTGAGAGCAACCACACCTGGTGTTAAAACGAACAAGACTGTGAGCTCCACGAGGAAGCAACTCCCTTCCCTTCCCTTCTCCACACCCACCTACTCTTCCAGCTAGCTTACTCCCCGCCTGTCGAGCCATGCTTTCTTATAACTCTGTCCTTCTGACAGGCTGTCCCCCTGCTCAGTGTGTCCTTCCCTTTAGGCTCAGCCTGATGAGTTCCTTCTCATCTTTTAAAACTTATATCCAAAGGCACCTACTTTCTGAGTTTATATGATACTGTCTTTAGTAAAATGGTGGGGGAGACAGAATTTTACTGTCTGTAGTGCCTGGCCCAGTGCCCTGCACATAACACCCCAGGAACATGTGCCCAGTGAGTGGACAGCTAAATGAATCAGGGAATGAAGTGGCACGCACTTCCCTAAATGTAGAGGCTCCTGTTGGATGAGATCCCTGAGAGACACTAAAGACAAAGGCTTCATGCCTGGAGTCTGAGTGTCAAATTCATGGCACCCCAAGGATAATCCAAGCACACCAGGGTGACTTTATAACAATCCTTGCCACACATCTCTAGGCCTCAGTGTTCAGGTCTACAAAACGGGGGAGCAAGAGGACAAACACAAACACTATCACATGTCACATTCTGATTTCCTCCACACTGAGCGCAAGGGAAGAGCAGCAAGTGACAGGGTGCTCCTGGGACACCCCATGGAGGGCTGTGGCAAAGGAAGCCAGGAAAAGTCACCCAGAAGCCCCATGTGCCATCCCCAGGGTGCTGTAGGAAAGTAAACAGTCCCCTAGGCCTTACGAGGCATCTTCAATCCAGTCTTCGTTCTCCAGAATGGCCTCGATGTGAGGGTTGGTGATGACAACATCGTCCAGTTCTAACTCAGAGGGCTCAGACTGGGTCTCCATGGCACCAATGAGGTCCACAATGGGCCTGGAAGGAAAGCCCCTGTTAAGTGGTTTCCCAATGGGGGACTGCTGCTGATCCCTCCTCACTGAGACCCATGTAACCCCAAAGGATGAAGAGAGTTGATAAGTTACAGCAGAGATCACTTGTCCTGGATCCAAACCTAACCCTAGTGGGACCGCAGCTGAGGGCAGGGCACATGGTTAGACAGTGAGTCAAGGAGGCAGGCCAGGGCACTACACAAAGGAGAAGTTAAAGAGAACAAGACAGGCCACCAAGAGAAAGAGCAGGGCTATAACCATATGATTACAAAGACACAGTAGGCAGAGCTGCTCCTTCAGGACAAAATAATATCCTTTTGTAAGTTACTTTCCCTTCAAGTCTACCTTTTACGAAGAGGTTTTAGTTCCTACAACCTGAACCTACCTGTACCCTCTACCTTGATCTACAGAATCACTCTTAGGAACTGCCCTGGTCCACCCCCATAACCCCATCTTCTCCTAGTCATGTTGGAGAAGTGAGAGAAGTAAAAACACCTCCTACTTTACAATAGGGTTCTTTTAAAAAAATGAGACATCATTGCATTCTTTTCAATAGCAGAGCTATTGAATATATATTCTGAGTCATATAGATATATCCTGAGTCATATAAAAGGGCATTTTACAAGTTACTAACCACTTGACAGAGACACTGATAGGATTAAGATAGAGGGGTAAGAGAAACTGAG